CGAAACCACCTCGGGTCGGGTTGCGCAGTAACAACAAAGGACGTGGTGAGTCCGTGCCATCCGCGCTGGACGCCGGTAAGAGTGAGAAGGGACGGCAGACACGAGACCGTTACTTCTAGGCCTACAGCACATGGGGCCAGAGTCCCCTCGTGGCAGTGGAGGCCCGAGGCCACCGTACGGCCCAGTGGAGACCTAACTACGGTCACTTCCTGGCTCCCAAGGCAGGGCTCCACGTCTTGGTTACTTGTGTTTCAGTGAAAGTAGTCGATTTTTAATGGTTTCTGAAATATCTTCACATGATCACAATTCCTTCCTACTTTGGCTATTCTGCTCATTATAACGACACACGACCTCTCCCATTGATGTGCGGTAGAATACATCTGTGATCTCTCAGATGATTTTCTTCTTTGCCCACGGAGCCAGAGAGGTGAAGGGTTGTGAGTGTGTAGTCATTTAAAAGTTATGAAACAAAATAGCCAAAGCAGGATAAAAACGTTTACTTCATCAGCGACAAGTTCATCAACACACCCCACTGTACTGTGCTGAAGGTACGAAGAGTCTGAGATACCTCACATCAGCAGTGTTCTGCCGTTTGGCTTTTCTCGTCTCTTCAACGTCTGCCTGACCCTGACGCGCACTTCCTCCGCGAGGACCTGTCTCCTGCGTGCCCAGCCCACGGCCAGGCCGGTGGTCCCGCCCTCCAGGACCACTGTGCAGTCGCCCGGCGTCCAGACTTGAGACGAGTGCAGCGGCCCCGGTGCTGCCAGGGCCGGCCCACGCGTGTCAGCAGGCGTGGCCAGGGCTCCCGGCACGCACGGGCCGCTCTGCAGGTGACGGAGTGAGCGGGCTGCGTTCACTCTGACAGTCTTTGCCTCTTTCGTTCACCCACCTGTCAGTTCTACGACACCCACTCCTTCCCCCTTCCCATGGCACGGTCCTCGCAGCTACAGACTCTCTCAGAACAGGAACAACTGAACCGTCCTTACTAACAGCACGCGTCTGTTCATTCGGTCATGACTAAGGGGACCCCTACACTGGAAGCAGACGAGGGTGTCCTCCCTTTCCACACTGCACCGAGATGACCTGTGCATGCCCCCGCCCTCCTGGACAAGGGGGCTGACGCCCAGCTGCGTGCCTCAGGGCGCGGACGGCACCGTAAACCAGCCACATTCAAGGTCTCGGGCAAGAGCGTGCCTGCGCTGAAGTAATTCAACATGAAGGAGATTACTTCGACTAGGACGTCCACGTGCGAGCTGAATATATACACGAAGTCCTAAATGCAGTCACAGAGGGAGCTAACGCTTCTGCCATCTGGTTTATAGGTGGTATTACTCAATTTCATGTATAATCGGATGTATGCAATTGTCCAAAATGCAAAGATTTCCCATTTTAAAGAAAAAGCAAAATTAAATTAAGTATAATCTTCAGTCCTCTGCACTGGAAATCTATAACATTTCTACCTCAGTTCTTAAAATACCACATCAAAATAAAATCGTGGTTACAAGACAAAGGCGCCAAGCTAGCCAGTTACTTCTGCTGAATAAGTATTTCATAGTTAATTATATTGAATGTGGCGATGGGTTTCACTTAAAACACATACGAAAAGATGAGAACGTAGGAAATGAACCGTTAGGCCATGAAGACAGACGTGTCCTGCGACACACACAGCGCCCAGCAAACGCTGCAGGGAAACCCTCCGCCCACGGCCGCTCCGGTGAGGGTCACTGCACAGGCTGTTACCAACTTCGCTTTCCAAGGTTCTGCCAAACAGCAGAACCACTTTAAAAAAGAAAACTGTAATGTACTAAATAAATCCTTATGCTAGATGTCAAAGCAGGAAATATGTAAGGATATCTTTTCTAAATTGCAGGAAGGATGGCAACATTAGTCACATAAGATATAAAACTCCAAAATTTAACAATATATAAAATAAGCAAGTCGTTTATCGTAGAGGCAAATAAATTAAAATGCTGTTCAAACTATAATTGGTGCAGTTACTTTGGAAAATGGTACAACTGAACAGTACACACGAGCCAAATCTATGCACAGTGCTAGTCGGAGAGAAGTGAATATACGTCCACAGGACTTCAGCCACCCCTGGGACACCAGTCAGCCACCCCGGGGACACCAGTCAGCCACCCCGGGGACACCAGTCAGCCAGCCCGGGGACACCAGTCAGCCACCCCGGGGAACACCAGTCAGCCAGCCCGGGGGACACCAGTCAGTCAGCCCGGGGGACACCAGTCAGCCAGCCCGGGGGACACCAGTTAGCCACCCCGGGGATACTAGTCAGCCACCCTGGGGACACCAGTCAGCCAGCTCGGGGACACTAGTCAGCCAGCCCGGGGACACCAGTCAGCAGTGAGGAAGGGAAGGGCCCTCACCCACGACTCCACACCACCACGCTGGCTGCGCTGACTCCTAGAAGTCTGCTACGTGAAGACCTCACTAGGACAACAGGCCTGTGGCAGCACAAACTGAACACAGCTGTCAGAGCAGGGAGCTGGGAGTCGGGGTACAGGCTGGCCAGGAGACGCACAAGGCCGATAGGAATGTTCCACAGGTTAACCCGCATCTGCCAAAGCTCAATGAGGCACTTATCAAGATATGTGCATTTCATCGTTAACGAATTTTGCCTCTAAAGGAAAACAACCTGTAACCAAGCACTGGACTCTGGTCACTGGTGTGCCTGCTGGAGTACCCGGAGGAGAGTGCTCTGATATCTGCACTCTGCTCTGACACACCTTAGGGAAGGCTGGACTGATGGGCAGATGAATCAGCATGCAACTAACAAGTCCAGGTAAATGTTAAGGGTAGAACCTAGGAGGCAGGTACAGCAGTGTCCACTGGAAAATTCTTTCAAATGTTCTGTATATTTGAAAATGTCCGTAAGTAGCTACCTAACTAGCTATCCAACATCTCATCATGAGAAACCTGCACAGCACGGCTTTCCCTGCTGGCAGGTCGGTCTACTCGACCAAGCACAGTATCTTGAAGGGCGTTCAGGAGCATTACGCTACGTTTCTGGGCCCATCGATGTTGAAGGTGCTTCTGCATGGCAGACGGCTTCTAGGAGCAGCCCAGTGCCTCCTCCGTGCCCCATGCACACCGGGTACACTCGACGCTCCAAAGGAGAGACGGCAGCCCTCTCCCACACTCACAGGGGAGGGAGTGGACATCTTCAAGGGGATGAAAGCACTGTCCACAGGAGCCCACCTCTTCCCTTTCCTCACTGAAGTGACATAAAGCCCCTCCTCCCTTCCCCAGGCCATGGCACCCCACAGCAGCTGCATGGCCCCAGGCTGGCGCACACCTGTCCTCTCTCACAGGTGCTCTGCCCCTTCCCCAGGCCATGGCACCCCACAGCAGCTGCATGGCCCCAGGCTGGTGCACACCTGTCCTCTCTCACAGGTGCTCTGCCCCTTCCCCAGGCCATGGCACCCCACAGCAGCTGCATGGCCCCAGGCTGGTGCACACCTGTCCTCTCTCACAGGTGCTCTGCCCCTTCCCCAGGCCACGGCACCCCACAGCAGCTGCATGGCCCCAGGCTGGTGCACACCTGTCCTCTCTCACAGGTGCTCTGCCCCTTCCCCAGGCCACGGCACCCCACAGCAGCTGCATGGCCCCAGGCTGGTGCACACCTGTCCTCTCTCACAGGTGCCCTGCCCTTTGCTCAGGTGCTGCTGGGTACCCACTAGATCAGCCGGCCTCCAGGATCACTACAGCCATGTGGAGGTTTCAAGTGGGAAGAGAATCCGAAGCTTCGGCCTTCAGCACAGCAAAAGGAACCCGGGGTCGGCCTGGCACAGGGCACATCGCAACAGGTGCTGGTCAGACCTCTGGCTGTAAGTACAGCCGTTCTCACCTCCCGCCTGACCAGCTCTGCTGCAGGGCCGTGTCTGTGTGCAGGTGGGCGTCCCCCCAGGTACGGGCAGGAGGAAGGACGGCCGTGTGGGGGAGGTGCGGACGGACCAGGGCCGTGTCTGTGTGCAGGTGGGCGTCCCCCCCAGGCACCGGCAGGAGGAAGGACGGCCGTGTGGGGGAGGTGCGGACGGACCAGGGCCGTGTCTGTGTGCAGGTGGGCGTCCCCCCCAGGCACCGGCAGGAGGAAGGACGGCCGTGTGGGGGAGGTGCGGACGGACCAGGGCCGTGTCTGTGTGCAGGTGGGCGTCCCCCCCAGGCACCGGCAGGAGGAAGGACGGCCGTGTGGGGGAGGTGCGGACGGACCAGGGCCGTGTCTGTGTGCAGGTGGGCGTCCCCCCCAGGCACCGGCAGGAGGAAGGACGGCCGTATGGGGGAGGTGCGGACGGACCAGGGCCGTGTCTGTGTGCAGGTGGGCGTCCCCCCCAGGCACCGGCAGGAGGAAGGACGGCCGTGTGGGGGAGGTGCGGACGGACCAGGGCCGTGTCTGTGTGCAGGTGGGCGTCCCCCCCAGGCACGGGCAGGAGGAAGGACGGCCGTGTGGGGGAGGTGCGGACGGACCAGGGCTGTGTCTGTGTGCACGAACTTTAACTAGCCCGACTTTTGTGCTTTTTCCCACTTACCCACAGATTAAGGACAACTTTCCAAGTGGAAACACAAACAGATGCACCTGCTCATGCTGCCCAGGCACAATGACTGCAGAGGAGTGAACAGGCACCAGGCCCGGTGACTGGTAGAGCAGATGCAGGGAGACCAAGGACCTTGGGCCCTGTTATCTTCCGTCACCACAACACCTAGATATCGGGCCCTGAACTTGGGACTGAGGGCCTCAGAGAAGGACATGGTGCTGACATGCATTCCAACAGGCCGGGAAGAGACCTGGCCCATCAGTTCGTGCTACGGGAGGCCAAAGAACGCTTGTCAGATTTTTGTTTTCCTAATGAATTGAAGACTGCGTGTTTCTACACTATTACCCTCCCGTTTTCTGTTCACAACACAAAATGACGTGTAAGAAGACAATGCTGCCAGCAGAATGGTGGAGCTGGTGCGTTACTGACCTGTCATCCCGTGACTCTTACCTCGCTCGAAGGGACCGTGGCGAAGGGCATGATGACAGCAGCTAAGGGGACCTGGGCCTGCTTGGCCATGTCTGCCGTGCACGGGAAGCAGTAGGTGGTGCAGCGGATGTAGCGAGGACTGGCGTTGCCTGAAAGTCAGAGACACACTGAGCGTCTGCCCGGAAAGCCCGCCCGGCAACAGACAGCGCGGTGCTGGCGGGACGCTCTGCCTCGCGGGTGAAGCGGCCACGGTCTAGAGGAAAAGCAGCAGATCCTCCCGTCCAGGCTGCAGCTTCTCGATCAGCACAGCCCTGGGCTCCTGTAACACCCGAAGGGCTGTCCCCTGAGGCCTTTCCACAGGTGACGAGCAGCGACCCCACTCCAGAGGGCTTCGAGCCGACGGAGCAATCACGCAGGCACAGAGCGCGACAGTGTCTCCCGCCCCCTCCCACCTGAGCCTCCGCGGGACAGCAGGGGTCTGCACGCCGTGCCCGTCGGCAGGCGCTGCTTTGTCAGTGCGATTCCATCTGACTATCTAGTTTTAAACTTGAAAAATAAGTCTAAGAATGAAAATTCTACCTTGTGACAGATATATTTTTTAAAACACTCTATTTTATTTATTTATTTATTAATCCTCACCCGAGGGTATTTTTCCATTGATTTTCAGATAGAGAGGAAGGGAGGGAGGGAGGGAGGGAGGGAAAGAGGCACATCAGTGGGTTGCCTCCTGCATGACCCCAACCAGGGCCAGGGATCGAACCACAACAGAGGCATGTGCCCTTGACCTGCATCGAACCCACAACCTTTTGGTCTGCAGGCCGATATTCTAATCACTGAGCCAAACCGGCCAGGGCTCTAACCTATTTTAGATATACATTATGTTTCATAACCAAATATATTTATTTCATGGCACACACGGGTATTAAAACATGAGCCACAGCATAAAAAAATACTTTGAATCTCTACAATAACTTACCTAAATTTTGAAATTAAGGTATAATTAAAACCTACAGTATATTATGATCAAAAGAATGGAACCCTCCAACAAATATTTACTGAGTGTCTGCTCGGTGCTCGGCCTTGCCCCTGCAGAGGACACAGACAGGTGTTCACCCCCAGGGGCGCGGTGTGTGGCACCGGACGCCGAGAAGGGCTCTGATGACGCGCACGGCTAAGCAGGCTGCAGTCTTACACAGGCACAGGGAGGCCTTCTGGAAAGACGCCACGGAGCACAGACTCCAAGCAGAGAGGGGTCCCCGGGAGGCACCTGCGGCAGCTGCTAGTTCTCACTGTTACGGGGGGCGGGCGGCACTGAGGTGCAGAGAGGTGAGGGGAGCCAAGCTCGGCGGGCAGACGGAGCCTGGATCCGCGTGCAGGTGTGCGAGGCTCCCCACGAAGCCCCTCTGCCTGCCCTGCAACACTGAGGATGGACTCGAGGGGAGGGGAGACCCCCAATTGGAACCTGGCTGGCTCCACAGCTCTGAGGTGACACAAAACGCGTGTTCACGTGCTGGCGCTGTACGTCCAGGGCTGAGCGCGAGGCCCGGCCACACAGTGCATTAGGAACTGAGCTGTCCAGCCTTATCAGGGTGCACTTTACCTGGCCGTAAACAACAGGGCACTGTTTGCGGGTGAGGTCCCAGGGCAGTGAACAAGGTAACACGAGGGCCGGGCTAGGACACCCACCGCCGAGGAGAGCCTCCTGAGACTGACACCCCGTTGCGCCTCACCAGCAACTCGACACTTTGCTGACAGTCCCTGTCTGTGCTTGAGTGACAAACGGCAAACTTATGTGTGACGCTTTGTGCCCAGTGCTTTCTGTGTGCTATGATTGGTTCTCACTGTGCACCCCTGGTGAGCTGTCTGGGGAAACGGTCTTGGAGAGCTTTAGTACAGCTCGAGTCACACGTGGAATGATGTGGCCAGACCGGAGCCCCTGTCCCGTCAGTGCTCGGCGGACATGCAGACAAGTATTTATGGTATTAACTATAAAACGGTTCCCCAGATCAGTGCATGGGCTTAAAAATAATAATGCAAAATCTTAAGACCTCAATCAAAACGAGTGCTGAGAGTAAGTACCTTGATCATGTATCACGCAGTCTGTGGTGACCAGGGGAGGGACCTGGCCTCTGGCGCTGGTGGAGTACAGCTGGCCCCCTCTGGCGGCCCGGTCACTCTCAATCACCTGGATCTGGTAAGAAGACAGCAAGAGCGAGTTGAAGTCAGGTCTGCTCCGCACTCTTCCTCCCTCTCGCCAGTCACATGTGAGAGCAGCACCTTCTACCCCTCGGCTCACTTCGGAGCGGACTGTTGCTGGACCAGCACGCCGTGCGTCTCACCACCGCTTACGCTCACAGTTTTAGACTAGTCGCTTCCAAATTCTGTTCCTAATACCCTGAGCTCTGACCCAGCCCTTCAGAGAACTTTGTTTTTTCAATTTGTTTATTGGGACCATAGCTAAGCATTTTTTAAAACTCTGGTAGGAAAATAAATTGAAAATGACTTTTTCAAAGAAAACTCTAAAAATGATTGGATTTAGAAGAAATGATTTACAACTTACAACCTAAACAAGTCCTAACTTCCTCCTCAAACCCCGCTTGGTTGTCAGCATCCTGTTCTCCCTACACAAGCGCCCACACACCCCACTCTCGCACGTGAGACAAACAGCTCAGTGTTCCAGATGGGGCCCCCACAGTACACATGTCAGAAGGGAACACATGTCCCTGAGTTGTGTCATTTCATTTGGAAACATATGACGTTTCTCTAAGAAAACACTGATTGATGAAAAATCGAGAGATACTGTCTGTTGTAGTGGCTTCGGGATGAAGGAACAGCAGGATGTAGCAGTGTGGAGCCAGCGGGAACCCTGAGAATTCTCCTCCCCTCCCCTCCCCCTGCCCTCCTGCTGTCATCGGAGGAAAGAGACAGGGGTCAGGCAAAGGGGGAAATGGAGAAACGAGGTGACAGTCAAATCGAGAGCAGCTTTGGGAGACACGCAGTCTTTGTTCCTAAAGACACTGTTCACAATAATAAACCCTCTTCCCCACACTCTGAAATGCTGCCCTGTCCACGGCCCTCACATCGCGCCCCTCCAGGCCCGGCTGGCACTGACGTCATCGGTTTGATGGCGCACCAGACACTGGTTTAAATATACACATCCTGCCTCTCCAATTCAAATCAAAGAACGTGGATTCTAATTAAATGAAAGATCTAGAACATGCTCCAAACATAATGACTGTAAAGCACAGAGCAGAGCCAAGAAGCAAGCGTGGCAGTCAGACACTATAATCACATTCTATGGGTGATCACAACCTGGCTCATTCCAAACTGGAAGAGAGCCCTGGCCGGATTGGTTCAGTGGTTAGAGCGTCAGCCTTTGGACCGAAGGGTCATGGGTTTGATTCCCAGTCAAGGGCATTTATGTGGTTGCAGGAGAGGCAGCCGATTGATCTCCCCCTCCCCCCTCCCCCCCACTCTCTCTAAAAATCAGTGGTGAGAAAAGCCTCAGGTGAGGACTAAACAACAAAAAAGTTGGAATAGATTTTATATTATCACCATTTATTGTCATCATTTCACCAATGCAGTGTCAAATATGACACTTGGGTCACTACAACAGAATCAGGAAAGAGGAAAAAGAAAGATTCTCTTGAGATAAATGACCAAGGGGCAGGGAGGTGCAGGAGAGAAGGTGTCTGGGGCAGACAGCCTGCCGAGGGCAGAGCGATGTGAACCTGAGAGGGGACAAGCCAGCTCAGGTCTGGGCAGCCTCCTGCAGCCACAGGAGAGGAGGGAGAGTCCCAGGAGGCCCTCACGTTCCAAAGCTGGACACGAGCACCATCCAAAGGGCTGTGGTGGCGAGCACTAGCTCAGACCGTAATGGGAGTTCAGTGAACACGATTTTCACCTTTCTAGCCAGAAGGGAGAATTTATTTAGTTAACAAAAGCATGTTCCTTTGGCGATAGGAACATAAACAGGCTCCACCTGGTATTGCTATTGTATTCCTTTTATGTGTGTATTTTAATGTCTAGGATGAATCGCAGCATATACTGCTACTGCTTTTCTTGTTGATATTCACACATTCGATCGACAAGCATGGGAGTGCCTACTACGTGCCCCGCGCTGGGCAACAGGAGGCTCTGCCAGTGACCAGGTGGAGGAGGGGGAGGCTGGGACATCAGGGGCACCAGGACGGGGCCAGGGTCAAAAGAATTAGCCAAAGGACTGTGAGGTGTGTGACAGAGACTCAACTTTTGGCCGAGGAACTGGAAGAATGGGGTTAGAACCTGGTTTCGGGAACGGTCTTGACTAGGAATATCCGTGTTCTTATTTAAAGCCACGATAACAGAATTACTCAGGAAGATGCGTCTCACACATTACGAACATCAGTGAGCCTGAAGTCACAGACTCCAGCCCACAAAGGTCTGGACTCGGGGGTCTGGGTACAGCTGAGAACATGGACCGCTAACGGCTGCCAGCTGAAGCGGAGGGCATCCTGGGGGCATCGCTGGAGTGGAAGCTGAGAGCTGCTGCCCCCTGCACAGCGTTCTTCCTTTTCTCCATCATACAGTGACACATCCCGACGGGTGTCCCTTCAGCCTGCATTCTGGACCAGGGCACGGGCTACACTGCAGCGACAGCAGCCCACAGGGGAGTTAGGTGACAGCAAGTGCCTGTGGGGTTGGGGCTGTGGGTTCTGCAGACGAACCCAGCGAAAGCTGACTAATAGAGCCCCCACAGCGACCTCCACGGGAGTGGAGGAGTTACATTACGGCTCCAATTCTATATTAAACAATTTTGTATTTTATTTTCATTTTTTAAAATATGTTTTTATTGATTTTTTGAGAGAGGAAGGGAGATAGAGATAGAAACATCGATGTGAGAGAGAGACATCGATCGGCTGCCTCCTGAGCGCCCCCTACTGGGGATCGAGCACACAACCGAGGCACGTGGCCTGACAGGGAATCGAACCAGGACCTTGCAGTTCATGGAGCAACGCTCAACCCACTGAGCCACACCAGAGGGGCAACAATTCTGTACTTTAATATGCGAAACGCAATATACTCTGTACTTTCACTCTCCATGGGGATCTTATTCTTACTGAAACGGTCCTTTTGTTCGTTAAGATAGCATGTTTATACAGGATACACTCTTACTACCAATGACTCACTGAACACCAATAGTACTGCCAATACACGCCGATATGAGCATCAGCAGCTACTGCAAATTCCCCGACTAGCAAGTAACACTCTACACGGGCTGCTTCCCCCCGGAGAGCCTGCCTGCCACGTAAGGAGGAGGGAGCCTTCGCTGCGAGCTGGCTGCTGGGCTTGGGCCGCAGCGCGTGGGCAGCTGCCAGGCCCTGGAGACTCGGGGAGCGATGAGCAGAGTGATCCTTTGGAGGAGGGCTGAGGAGTGAGAAGGGCACTTACTGGGCTGGGCACAGAGTCCGGATCCAGCCTCCGCGGGGGCTGCGCGGGCCCTGCCATCTGCGCAGGCCCTCCAGGGAAGCCTCCTGGGTATGCGAGCTGCCCTCCTGGCATCTGCGGCCCATAGCTGCCTGTTTGGAAAGAAGTTTACGAAGAGATGACTACAACCCAGATCCAGATGTGGGGCTCACGGACAAGGTCACGCTGTCCGGCCAGGCCTGCTGCGTTTCCCACCCCTTCCCCCGGGCAGGGAGCCCCGCGTGACCACCCAGCACCCTTTCTGTGCGCTGCCCCACTGTTCACAAAGTGCCCTTCCTTAATAAAGGTGGGGGACAGGGCCCAGGAACAGGAACAAAGCGGATTTCCAGCAGGGGCGGCCCCAGGTACCCAGGCCCTGCTAGCTCTGCCCATCCTACCCTGCTGCAGGGGGTATCCGGTGCCCAGGGTCTGTCCCGGAAGAGGCGGGGGCTGCAGCTGGGCATTCAAAGGAGCCGGACCGGGAAGCCCATCCTGCCTGTGTGCTGGGGGCAAGGGTGGTGCACCAGGGCCATTCAGTGCAGTGGGTGGTGGCGGGAGGACCTGAGACCCAGGCTGCAAAATGGATGGCTGTGGCGGTCGTGGGGGGCCTTGGCACGAGGGTGCCGACAGGGAACCCGGGGGCCCCTGGCCAGGGGGAGCCACGCCCGAACCTGTGTGAGAAAGAAGACCAGTCACCCAAACACCACATTCTTACTCCCCACTCCTGCCAAGGACACTACTGGGACACTCCTGACGTAAAGCCAGGGAGCACCTTACAACCAGACCCTTCTTTTCCGCCACAAGATGAAACCTTCATTCAGAAAGTGATACAAATGCTACGTGGGACATTTTATACTGGAAAAGCTTTAAAGAGTAAAAACATTAGTAATTTTAGTGAGAAAATTAGGGTGAATTTTAACTCAGTTGCAATAACTTTATATGATACATGCCATTAATTAAGGAATTGTATCTGATACAAAATCTAGAGTCACACAGAAGAAAATGTTATTACGTAACAGGCATTATTGTGGTAACCGAGAGTTAGCAAGTTATTTGCATCCTGCGCCTTCCGTGATCAGGTGGGGGCAGGGACACTAGCAAGCTCTCCAACTACTGAAATAGCTGTAAAGCCAGATTATTTTTTCCTTTATCTGATTATGTGAAATGGAGTTGCTTCCTTGGAGACTTGTCCATTTTGGAATCAAGAGGTAAGAAAACTCAAATGCACGCATGCGTAACCGGGGACACGGGCAATAGCGCTGTGGGCGGGGCGGGCGGGGAGTGAGAGGAGGGCGTCAATGGGGGAAAAGTAGAAACATCTGTAACAAAAATATATTAACAATAATAATTTTTTCAAACAGAAATATTCTGAGGGTTCTCGTCTCGTTGTTTTACTGATAATTCTGCACTAACTCTGAGCACGGAGACACCTCGGAAGAGTCGCTGCGGAGGAGCCCTCGGGCCGGAACGCCCAGCGCCGCGGGGAGGTGACTCAGCCCTGACGGCTTTCTCTCCTGTCCCGGCCGCGCTGCCCGAGCCCGAGCCCATTCCGCCCACGACCTAAGTGCAGGATCAAAACGCTCCATGGAACGGGCTCTTCTGTTTCTTCTCCAGGCCCCAAGGAAAACACAAGGTCAGAACCGCCCTCATGCTCCTTGGAATAATCTCACGGCCCTGCTGTCCACGAGTCACATCGTCACCGTCTTGCTTCCTGTTGTGCTAGAACTGAATGGGGGGCGTGCTGGGGTCCGTCAGTGACCCTGGGATAGAGGGCGGCACGACCAGGGAAGAGCAAGCGCAGCCGTACGCGACACGGACAGACAAGACAGAATGTCCACAGCACTGCCTCGTACGCTGGGCCAGAGTCACTCTGCTCTGGAAAGGAAGGAACCCTTCTCATTAACAGCGCTCACGACACCAGGCAGACAAAGAGCGCTCCCGTGCAGGGTTACCATAGCTGTTGACGTGCATGGCGTCGAGCTGACTGCCCAGCTGGGAGATGGATGCAGTGGGCATGGGACTTGGATACGACGACTGTGTGGCAGGGGGATATGGAGCATAGGAGGGCGCCGCACTGTTGGCAGGTGGAGGACCTGGAAATCTGGGAGAAAGAAGGGTGTTAGACAATATCACAGTTTCATATGCAAATGACATGCGACGAACATCAATAACTTGTCAAATTAAATAAGCCCCTCTAGTGGGCTCTAGGGAAAGGACATATTTATGCTGAGCAATGACATATTTATGCTGAGTCTTTAATGTTCTCGAGGTGAGCTCAAAGTGAATCACATAGCATCATCCTGATAACCACAGAGGCTTAACATGAACACTAGACGTCTCCCTGACTTTGAATGTTTCACCCCATCTGCATTCACAATTCAAGCTGAAGCAGGGGACTGGGGGGGGAAAGGGTCGCCGTCTGCGGGTGCGTGGCTGGGAACCACAGTCACAGCGGTTCCTAACTGGAGCTGACCGAGGGGCTGGCCTGAGCCATGGGGAGGGCGGCCGCAGAGGAAACCGTCTCCACCAGTGGGAACAGGACTGACAGCTGCTGCCACCATGGCGCCCTGCTCTTCGCGCACCCTCCGCACCCCAGCCCAGACTGCTGCTCCAGCGGGAGGAGCGTGAGCCGCAGAGGTCACCGCCTGAGCCAGGAGTAGCAGCGTGCCCGGACACTGTGCTGAGCTCACAGCCACACGCTCGGTCTGCCTGATGCCAAGTCCGTGGTCCACTGACTCCTGAGGAACCTAACGCAGGCGACACCAGTGGGCAGAACCTATCCTGGCTGACACCAGTGACCCAGCCTCCTCTTAACTGCACAGCAGCTGTTGAATGTCTGTATTTCTTATGAAAAAAAGATGCTTGGCAGTTCCCGAGTGCATTTTTCCAGGTCTTCCCCCTCCTCTGGACTGAGAATTCCATTTCCTCACGTTACAAGATGAGAACAAGGCCCAGAGGCCCAGGAGCGTCACCAGCATCACACAGCGAGTTACTGCTTCCACCCGAAGAGGCTTCTTGGCCTCAGCCTTTCTGCTCCCCCTCCTGGCCCCACCAGGGGCCACAGGGCAGGTCCCAGGTCTGCCCTTTGACCCTGATCCTTCCTCAGGCCACAGTCACATGCAAATGACTTAGACTCATCCTATTTCCGGTATTTCCCTCCGCCGCCCCTCACAGCTACCACTTCACCTGCGAAAGTTCTCGGGACTAACAGGAGCCAGGAACTGTCAGCCTCGCAAAGCCCAGCGAGAGGATTCATGGACGGTTTCGAAACCCCAGGGCGATCTCCCACTAGCAAGGACTGTGGGTTCCTCGACCTGGTGGCTAAATGGCTTCACCATCAACAGGGTCCAGGTTCACACTAGGGGTCCTCCTCCCAGACCCCAACCCTGCAGCCTCACACCCTGGGAAAGAAAGCTGAGAAACAGCAGCCTCTGGCGATGCCTGGAGAAACCCCCACGTAGACCTGCCTCCTGGGCACCAGCTCCTCACAGGAGCACCTCACCGGACAAACAAGAATGAGTCTTCAGCAGGGCAGGGGGACGTGGCTCCCTTCCCAGGGGACAGTCCCCAGGGGCTGCAGGGCTGTGAGCGTCACCCCTCAGGCCTCGGCTTCTCCAGGCTGCCTCCAACTTGCCGATCCTCACCCTGCCCCTCAGGGGTCCCTCTGTGGACAGCAAATCCACTCTCTCCCACGGGCCACGTTTGATTTAATTCTTAAACACGTGCCCAGCACCTGCTGGCACTGCGCTCGACTCCGTGGGAATCACGTGACTAGGGATTTACAACTGTACTGGGAGTACCGGCCACAGACATCTGAGCAACGAGAGGTCCATACAAAACTCTAAAGTAAGATAACATAACCACTGCTTTTCCCTCCTAACTTCTCAAAAAGCTCTGTATCCTAGGGAAGGTTTCTACTAGATCCTTTCAAGGATGAGGCCACGCCCTGGCTGGTTTGGCTCAGCGGTTAGAGTGTCGGCCCGCAGACCAATGAGTCACGGGTTCGATTCCAGTCAAGGGCACGTACCTCTGTTGTGGTCCGTTCCCTAGCCCTGGTCGGGTCGTGCAGGAGGCGACCAGTTGATGTGTCACTCTCACATCGATGTTTCCCTCTCTCCCTCCCTCACACTCTATCTGATAATAAACGGAAAAATATTCTCAGGTAAGGACTGAAAAACACACAAACAAACAAAGGATGAGGCAGATCAGGAGGTGACACTTTCAATCAATATATACGCACCTTAGAAGCGATTTGTGAGACGATGCTAAGGGGACTAATCAAATGAGGGCTGGGACCTATCTTACTCACCTCTGGGGAGGATGGCCCTGCGCGTGAGATCCATTCGGGCCAAACTGATGGGGCCCAGGAGGTGGGGGGCCCTGAGGCAACATGCCCCCGGGCACAGCCCCCAAAGGCCCTGCTGGCTTCATCATACCTGCAAGGGAAGGGCATAGATTCAGAAGAGGACGCAAGTGCAGAGACTAGACCCAAGACGCCAGGTGGGAAACGCACACTGGGAGGGGCGGGGAGAAATGGGCTGGGACAAGTTGTCCTCAACCATCACAGGCCTGCCAGTGCGAGGCTCAGGCACAGTCATTTGACCACTGTAATGACAGAGCAGAAAGGAAAGGAATCCCGTCGCCACTGAACGGAACGCAAACGGAAGCAACAGCGTCTGCGCCTGGTGGCAGCGCCCTGAGGGAAGGCCGTCACGCCAAGCGCTGGACACGCGATGGAAGGTGCCAAGTGGACGCCAGGAATCGGCCTGGAAACAGTGGAAGACACGAAGCGTCCTGACTCGGACTACGGAAGAAGTCTCCGAAAAAGCCTGTGTGAGCTACGAGAACAGCAGAGAAGCCAGCGCCCAGGACCAAACCCCGGGTGACCAGCAGCTGCGGGCCGACCGCTCAGGTCCTCGCGTGGTCACGGTGATGCCAGGTGCCCTGGGCCAGTCACACGTCCATTCACAGAGCTCTTCACAGCTCGAGATCCTTCGAGTTTCTCCTCGGGCCTGTCCGCAGACACTTCCTCTCTTCTCCGGGACCCGGCCCAGGAGGGGGCCGCGGGCGCACTCGCAGGCACGTGCTCTGGGCACGCAGTTTGTCCCTGAGGACCTGTTTCGCCTCAACACCAGAACCTGGAGAACCCCCCCCCAGCTCTTTAAATAGAAGCAGCACACAGCTTGTACCTGCTCCCCACTGCCGAGCTCGTTCTGCGCCCCGCCCCGGCCCCGCCACCAGCCACGTCCCGGGCCGCACGCCTGCGTTTGAGCTCATGGTGGTGTCTCACACTCAGCATCGTCTTTCTTCTGGTCGCTCCCTCCAGCAAGCTCACCCCAGACCTTGCGGTCGCTGGGGAAGTCCCTGATGTCGTCATCCCAGGACGCTCGGGAGCTTTCAGACGCTGGGTCCCCTGGAGGAGACAGCCCGTGAAGGGCAGGACTCTGTACCGAACACCAAGCTTCTACAGAACTTCCTTCTCCTGAAACAGGATTCCTCAAACTTAAGAAAATTTTATATTAACCTTATAGTCACAGGTTTAGTTACAATTTTCCATATACCTAGAATAAAACCATTTTTACATAATACCACCTTTTTATATAAAGTCCTAAACCCCCACCCCAGCTAATGAGAACAACATGAGGCCTGCAGTCACAGACGGCCTGGGTGCCTCCCCAGCACTTAGCTGCTGTGATCCTGCTGAGACACTTCACTTCTTCAACACCTGGATGTGACCACTGCCGGGAGTACTGTTCCCGTCTCTGAGGACCATTCTGAGAGCATCCAGAACAGTGCCTGGCACATAAACAAATCCCAAGGTCCTCTCCCCTGGCCAGGCCCCTGCCCTCCTTTTTTCAAGTATTTATATTCTAACAACACATATATACCATAAGTATATGCACACTTGTATTTTCATTTTTAAAACATCATTTTGGACAGGAGTAGAAAATTCACAACACGAAGACAGTGACTAATTACGTGCACTGCAAGAAACCAAAGATATTCTCATGCCTTGAATAAGGAAGGAAGTAAACAGCAATTTCATCAACAACCCTCACTCATGTGTCTAGAGAATCAAAAATCAGTTCTCGGACTTCACTCATTCTGGGTGCTCCCGTGTGTGCGCTCTGCACAGGTCAATAAACTTGTTTCTAAAAACAAAATCATAACCAAAAAAGAACCAAGACAAGCCAGTTCTCTTACACTTAAGCAGAACTGTGTTACACACCAGTCTCACTAATGGTTCTTTCCCTTGAATTTCAGAAATCAGCTCTGCAGCGAGAACAGAACCTCCTTCCTGCCAGGCACATATGCGGGGTGCCTGAGGCCCTGTGCTCAGAGAAGCCGCCCACACAAACCAACAGCCAGGGAGGTGGGGACTGCTCTGTGCAGACGGACCACCAACTCTCCCAGGTCCGGAGGAAGGACCGCGGAGGGAGATCGCGAAGGATGAGCAGAGACCCAGGCAGAAGCAGAGCTGGAGCAGAAGCAGGAGACGGAGGCGTGACTGGAACTGGCAGAAGGCTCCTGCAGGGCTGGGGAAGAGCCCGAGCAGAGGTTGTCCAGGTTGGCTGGGGTCAGACTGCAAAGTCCTGTGTGCTGTTTGGACTTGATCCTCAGGGCAAAAGGGCAGTCAGTATCAGTGTTATCTACAAAGACACAGTCTTCCCCTGGCCACGTTACTAGCATTTAGAAGTGGTCAGAGATAAAGAGCAATCAGGTTCTTTATACAGCAGTCTGAATATTTTAACGGGAAAGGAAAATCAGATCACACAGAAGAACTAAAGATGCTTATGCCGAAAGAAATGTCAACATCACGGCCCAGCCTTTCACACGGGGCAGACGGCACAGACAGCTCAGTCACGACCAACTCAGTTCCTCCCTGCCTGGCCTCTCTGTGTAACAGTCCCGAGCAGGAGAGACGGAGTCTCCTTTTCCCAGACTCCCTGCAAACTGTGTTGTCAGGTGTTCTAAACTCAGCAAAGCCACACAGCTCTGGGGTCCTGGCCCGGGCAGGGATGAGGTTCTGGGGACAGAGGCAGGGCTGCTGATGGACTAGTCCAGTGGGGGTGTCAAGCCTAGTTCTCTGGCTCCCTCTAATATTCTCGAAGCTTTTAATGCCAGTTAACAAATCCCTTCTGTGAGAGTAGTTTCTGTCATCAGCAAAGAAACGCGACTAAAACATCACAGAAAAGGCTTGGATTTGGCCCTGGGTCTGACAAACCAACGCCCAAAGTAAACACCATCAGTGAAAGAACGTGCATCTAGAATAAGTCAAGAGAAGCTCCCTGACACAGGCAAAGCCCGCCTGGCACGACCCTGTGCGGGCGGCACCCCCAGAAGACTCTCGAAATGAGGCCCCACAGCCCGAGCCCGAGTCTGGCCTCAGGACACTCGCAGCTCTTGCCCCTCAGCTTCCCGACCAGCCGTCCTCAACCAGGGTGGTCTGCCCCGAAGGGACATTCGCAACGTCTAGGGTCTTTGGACGCCACAGCTGAGGGTGGCGAGTGGAAGGTGAGCACTGGCATCTGGTGGGTCGACGCCAGGGATGCGGCCGAATGCCGTGCAGCGCACATCGGGGCGCCCACGTGTCGAAGGTGCCGAGGATGAGAAAGCTGCTCCCCAGAGCAGCTGCCCAGCCGCCGCCGCCTCACCTTCCATCGTGGAGGGAAACTCCCGGAACACACACAGGCCCTGCCCCTTCCCACCCTAGAGTGCTTCCAGGCACCCGCTGCCCTGAAAATAACCCCGAAGCGAGCCTGCAGACGGCCCCACTTCCACCCCAGGCTCCCCTCACCGCTCCACTCGGCTCCCGGGCACACGGACCCTCCCGCAGGTCCCCTCGGGGCCAAGCCCCGCCCAGAAAGCCACCTGGCCAACTCTCCTCTTTCAGGTTATTCCCCCCAGGCTCCCTTCACCCCCACGCCTTGGCCGGGCGCCCCTGCCGTGCTCCCCACACCCTCCGCTCCCTGGTGGCGGGGCTCCCTGCGCGGTCACCGCCAGCCCACGGAATGCACGCCCCCCCAGCAGGTGTACAGGACTGAGGTCAGGTGTGCCGTGCTCATCATGACATCGTCACGGCAGAGTGTTCTCTCAGCACGTGTTCCGTGGGGCACCCCCGAGCACTGGCATCACACAAGGCACAGACGCAGGCACGTCTGAGAGAAGCCACAACCAGGCCCCTGCGTCTGCCAGAAACCAACAAAGCATCACCCAGACAGGAAAGGGACCAGAAAGGCCAGGCTACCTGAAGACGCTCACCTCATGAAACACCCCAGTTTACAGAGAGGTGCGTGCAGCCTGCCAGCCCGGCACCGCCTGAGGACTGCATCCGGACGAGCGGAAGCAGGGAGGGGGGGACACATGGTTTGCTGGGGAGGGCGGCAGCTTGCCCCTCCCTCCCTCACTGGACACGCGGCTAATGGGCGCGCTCTGCACCAGGCCCGTCTGTACCATGCAACACGGGAAATGGCAGGACGCACAGGTGTCAGGAGAAATGAGAGTGGCAGAGGGTTCACGAATACGCTGGAGGAAGGGCTGTGGGCAGAAGTCGGGGCACACGTGCAAACCGGCCTCCAAGTGACCAACAGCTCAGGGTCACCGGAGTGACAGGTGTGGGGGTGGGGCAGGTGAGCTGACCTGAAGAAAGCGTAAGCCAGTGAAGGCCCGGGGAGCGTCCAGGGGAATCGCGCCATGGGAAGCCGCACCAGGTTTGAAGCGCAGGGAAGTTGGAAATGGACTTGGCATAATGTCCCTGCAGCCCAGGACTGGGCAGTTGGAAGAAAGGCAGTGCTGGGGAGAAGGTGATGGCTAACAATCCAGGCGAGGGATGGAGGGCTGCCCGGGAAGAGTGGCAGAGGCCAGAGAGGAGAAAGCAGGTGGGAAAGATGTTCACAGTTACCCAGAAGACTCTGGGAGACTGGGCTGGAGAAGGTAAAGGGAAGGGATTTTTTTTGTTTGTTTAATAGTGAAAGTTTCTAATTTGAATGAATGAAAGATGCTGCCAATGAATGAGATATAGAATGCCAAAAAAAGTGGGTTTTATTTTAAAAATTGTGAATTGTTTTGGACATGAGGAGTGTGTATGCCTATGTCAACAGGTGGGCAACTGAAAATATGGTGCGGAGCACAGGACAGACCTGTGAGCTGAAGAAACAGATCTGAGAGACAGCTCTTCACGTGGAATGAGTGTTCAGGGGACAACCCAGAGCAAGAGGAAGGAGGGTGAAGCTAGAACAAGAAGGAGAAACAGCAACGCTTGACGGTCATGTAGACGAAGGGGGCTTCCTTAGACAGACACATCCGGAAAGCCACCAAGAAAGGTACCAAGGGATAGTGTCACTGAAACCACAAGAGAAGAGGGTTGTGAACAAAAGCAATAAACAGTATCAGATTCAAAAGTGGACAGGACAGTGTCTACCGCACCCCGGGATCAGAGGCCACCGATGACCTGGTGGGAGAAGGGGACAGTGGATGAGGCCCAGCTATGCAGTGGAGATGACACTGAGCCCACAGGGACTGGAGGAAGGGTGGAGAGTTTAAGGAAATGGCTTCGGAGGGAGGGCAGAAGGGTACCGCTGCACGGCACGCCTAGGTGTGCGCTGCAGTTTGTTACTGCGCCCTGGAGGGCCCTGGGCGGGTCCTGGCTGCACTGCCCGCTCTGTGACCTTGGACAAGCCACAGTCTGCCAGAAACTCCGTTTTCTTACCTGCGAAATAGGGCTAATTATTTACTGCATAGCATTATATGAACATTACATAAGATAATACACGTAAAGTTTTTAGGACCAGTTTTTGATACATGGTGAGTACAAAAAGTAACTTATACAATTATCATTATACACAAATCTGAGGGGTAATGAACCACCAGACAGAGAGAAACTTGAGAGAGATGGGTTAATGGTTCCCAAAGGCTCCAGAGAGACAAGACTATGAATGTTACGAGGAGGGCTGGTCCTGGACAAGACAAAGATGCCTCATCTGGAGATTTTTAAAAATCAGAGGTGGACTCAATCCTAAGGGGGCTTTCCACAGGAAATTCCGTCCCAGCGGACCCTCCGCAGCCAGCTGTGTGTGGGGCTCCGTGGCTCTGTGCAGGGCTCCCCGGCCCTCGCGATGCCACACGCTGGCCCTGCTGTCGCTCGCAGCACCGCCTGGACCCCCAGGTCTGAGTCAGGCCCACTGCGCCCCAGGACCACTCACTGGTTTATACACGGCCAGTCCCACCGAGGGGTCATGCTGAATTCCTCAGCCTTCTCTCAGAAGCCCCAGGAACTGTCTCATATAAATATTTCCAGGGAATTTGGGACCATCAGCCCTGAAACAAGCTACTCTTAGCCTCGCTCCTGACTCCAAAGCCTGGTCTCTCAGAGCATGCCCCTGATAAAGGGAGGTGGTCCAGGTGTCAATGCCACCAGAGGTATGGAAGTCCCACTCAATTACTCCTTTTCCCCTCACTTCTGTCCCTAAAGCCAAAATTCCCTGCTGGGTACCACATTTCGAAGCAACCGATATTGTTCAATAATAATTTCAAGGCAAGGGCATGTTTATCTTGCTATTATCATTGAGTAATCTTCAGTGTGCAAATCTAATGATATTTTCCCATTATCAAAATTGATTTTACAATATTATTGCTGAACTCACTTTAGCATAGATAAATGGATATAGATATAAAATTTGTTTGTTTGTTTTTTATCCTCACCCGAGGACATTTTTCCATTTTTTGTTCAGATAGAGCAGGAGGGAGAGAGAGAGAGAAACATCGACGTGAAGGGACACATCGAGTGGCTGCCACCCGCACGACCAACCAGGGCCGGGGACAAACTGCAACCGAGGTACATGCCCTTAGTGGGAACCGAACCCGGGTCTCTCTGGACCGCAGGCCGACGCTCCAACCCCTGAGCCAAACCAGCCAGGGCTAAAATTTGTTTTTTATTGGGTATTTATAACATCACACTAATGATCAAAAGCAAGAGCAAGTCTAAAATAAAACACTCAGGAAGCTTCTTTAACTCTACATTTAAAACCAAACTCGTCATTGTATTCCAGGCAGTAGCCAGCTGATGACACAGGCTCCTTCCCTGAGAGCCCCTTCCAGGTGACCCTACAAGCTAAGCCACTGCAGCAGTGGCCGTCCTGCGCGCCCAAAGCCGCTCTTAGGAGCTCGAGTGCCTCCGAGCTGAGAGGTCACCATCACACACAAGCCAGCGCTGTGCGCTTTACCTGGTGGAGCAGCCGTGTGAGCGGGGTCTCCGTAGTGGCCGTAATGCGGCGAAGAAAGGCCCATGCCAGACTGGGACTGAGAATAGGGGGGTGTCGCCACGTAACCTTGTTGACTCATTATGAAAATATCATTCCAAGAGAAAGTTCTACAGAAGGACCCTGTAACAGAAGAGAAAATGTTGTCAAGCAGAGGAGCTGAGTCAATGCTATTAAAAAATCTAAGTGCTGTTAACTGTTCCTGCTGGTTTGAGGAAAGGAACAATCATCAGGTACACGCGACATCTTCAGGTTGTACACCATCTCACACCGTTATCCCCTGAGGAGCGCTGGCCATCTCTCCACAGAATTCAAGAACACACGTCTATAGTCCCGGGCAAGTCTCAGGCACAGAATCCGAACAGCTGCCAACGCCTTTCCACTGGAAGACCGACGTGCTCCACAGACAGTCTGTCGTAGGCGTATCTCTCTTTCTGTGCCCCTGGCTTCGTGGCCATTTCAGCACAGAGCACAGCACTGGCAATGGCCGGGTGCTCACCTGACCGACCAGCATACAGCAAGCAGATGTTTTGTGACTTGTGTTTCTATAGTGCTATCCTAACTAGTAATTTTTAAAAAAATTCTCACCTAAGGATATTTTTCCATTGAGTTTCAGATGGAGTGGGAGAGAGGGAGGGAGAGAGAGAGAGAGAGAGAGAAGTACCAATGTGAGAGAGACATTGATTGGTTGCCTTCCGCACAACCCCAACCAGAGCCGGGGATGGAACCGCAACCGAGGTACGTGCCCTTGACTGGAATCAAACCGTGACTCTTTGGTCCGAGGGCTGTCACTCTAACTACTGAGCCAAACTGGCCAAGGCCTAATTAGTCATTTTAATCAGGCAGTTAGGGCAGGGAGAAATCAATAGTCCAACGAACACAGCATAAGATAAAGAAGCTGATCGTGGACTCATGAGTCATAGACTGCCAACAACCGTCTGAGAGTTGCCAGTGGCTTCGCAGGCAAAGATGACAGACTGTTTCTGATTTAAATGTCACACCTCTAGAAACATATGCACATGTATTTCAGGAACCAAGAGAAACGCGCGATTTCATGTGTGTTTAGGCAGGCGCACACGGCCACACACACGCTCACAAATACAATAGGTCCATCTTGAGTCCATTCACAAAACAAGCATCATCTGGCTAAAATTTTCCATGTTTCCAGGTTTCACAAAGTAAGAGGCACTGGCCCAGAACTGAGTCTTCTTAAGAAATGTTGCGAGACAGAAAAAGCTCTGGGTGGGTTTTCCCTCGAAATTGGCCGCTGTGTGTCTGGTGAAGAGCCGAGGAGCCTCCCTGGGCCTCTCCAGCTACAGAGCGTCCCCCGCAGCCCTCCCGCGCCTCGCCCCGCACGGGCTCGCTCTCCCTGTCCAGGTTGCATGAAGATCCCTGCCGCGGTTGCATGAAGATCCTGCCCCGGGTGCATGAAGATCCCTGCCCCGGGTGCATGAAGATCCCTGTCCCGGGTGCATGAAGATCCCTGCCCCAGTTGCATGAAGATCCCTGCCCCGGTTGCATGAAGATCCTGCCCCAGTTGCATGAAGATCCCTGCCCCGGTTGCATGAAGATCCTGCCCCGATTGCATGAAGATCCCTGCCCCGGGTGCATGAAGATCCTGCCCCGGTTGCATGAAGATCCTGCCCCGGTTGCATGAAGATCCTGCCCCGATTGCATGAAGATCCCTGCTCCGTTGCATGAAGTTGCATGAAGATCCCTGCCCCGGTTGCATGAAGTTGCATGAAGATCCCTGCCCCGGTTGCATGAAGTTGCATGAAGATCCCTGCTCCGTTGCATGAAGTTGCATGAAGATCCTGCCCCGGTTGCATGAAGTTGCATGAAGATCTCTGCCCCGGTTGCATGAAGTTGCATGAAGATCCTGCCCCGGTTGCATGAAGATCCCTGCCCCGGGTGCATGAAGATCCTGCCCCGGGTGCATGAAGATCCCTGCCCCGGGTGCATGAAGATCCCTGCCCCGGGTGCATGAAGATCCTGCCCCGGGTGCATGAAGATCCTGCCCCGGGTGCATGAAGATCCTGCCCCGGGTGCATGAAGATCCTGCCCCGGGTGCATGAAGATCCTGCCCCGGGTGCATGAAGATCCTGCCCCGGGTGCATGAAGATCCCTGTCCCGGGTGCATGAAGATCCCTGTCCCGGGTGCATGAAGATCCTGCCCCGGTTGCATGAAGATCCTGCCCCGGTTGCATGAAGATACTGCCCCGGTTGCATGAAGATCGCCGTGGAAGTGAAAGATGGGTGACACCTACTAAGCCTTGCACCAACCAGATCTACCTTCAGGAGATGGTTCTTCGTCCGGTTTCGTTTTCATGTTCGACAAGTTTCCAAAATTAATGCCACCGAGTGGAGTCCCGAAAGCCCGGGGCGGCCGGGAGAGGCGCACGGAGCCTGGGCTGCGGTCGCGGGCGGCCCCTCCCGCCGCGAGGGAGACGTGGCAGCAGCCGGGCGAGTGGGAGGCCGGCGGGCACACCCTCCGCGCCGCCGAAGGGGGGGTGCGCCCGGCGCCCCGGGAGGAGCCCGCTCCCTCGCGCGCGGCGGCCACGTCGAACTTCCTCGGCGCCCGCCCGCCCGCTCCCCGCAGCCCCTCGGCCGCGCGGCCCGGGCAGGGCGCCACCTGGCAGGCGCCGGCGGGGCAGCGCAGCCGGGGCGCGGGTCCCGGACTCGACAGCTCGCGCGGCGACCGCCCGGCCCGCAGCGCGCTCGCGTGCGGACCGCGTCCCGGCGGCGCGGCGAAGCCCAGGCGCTGCCCCTGCGGAGCTTCCCGGCACCCGTGCCCGGGGCGGCCGGCGATCCGGACCCCCAGCGGACCCCCACTCCGTCCCCGCCGCTCCGTCCCGCACTCGGCCGGGGCCGGGAGCGCCCACGCCCGCAGCCCCGTCCTAAGCTGCGGCTGGGCCGGGGTCCCCGCCCGCGCCCCTCCAGCGGCGCCCACCCCGGCCGCGCCGGGGGTCCCGCCCGGACCCGCCGTACCTGCCGCTGCCGGCCCTGCGACCGCTGCCCGGCTCCCGCTGCTCGCGCCGCGCCGCCCCGGCGGGTTCCTCACAGGCTCGCGGCGCGCGGACTTCAGCCCGGCTGGCAACTGCCACGTCAAAACTCCCGGCCGCGCTCCCGGCGCCGGCCGCCGCCAGGGCCGCGCTCCCGCCGGCGCACGCGCGCAGACGCCCACGGGGCGGGCCGGGGCGGGGCCGAGCGGGGCGGGGGCGGGGCCGAGCGGGCCGGGGGCGGGATCGAGCGGCCCGGGGGCGGGGCCGAGAGGGCCGGGGGCGGGGGAGGGGCGGGGCCGAACGGGCCGGGGCGGGACTGGGGCGGGGTCGAGCGGCCCGGGAGCGGGGTCGAGCGGCCCGGGGGCGGGGCTGAGGCGGGGCGGGGCCTCCCGCTGAGCCGCTCGGCGCATCCGCCGCCGGTCCTCCCTTTTTTCTCTTTTTCCCTTTCCTGTCTGGTTTGTTTGTTTCTGTTGCTAAATCAGCGCAACGTTTTCCCCGGGGAGCCCGCAGGGCGGAGGGAGCGCGCCCTGAGGTTCCTTCGCTCGCTCACTCCGCGCACTGGAGCGGTCGCAGGGCTGCGCGGCCCCTCCGGGAGGCACGCGATGCCGACCACAGCTCGCAGTCTAGGGCTACCTGGCGCCTGTACACAGACGGAGGCCGTGGTCCGCCGTGCACTGCAGAGCAAGCAGCCTGGCAACGTGAGAACCGGGAGAAAAAATGTCCCGGCGGAAAAGTATGGGAAGAGCCGTCTCGAGCTGGGACGGCTAGACTTCTGTGTTTTCCTTCGACGGATGTCCATGTGTTCCCTGTCTGAAGTAGGATGGCTGAGCCCACCCCCCAACGGGGATTTCCCCATGTACCACCTCGGGCGTTTAGCTCACTGTCCTGAGAGCTGAGAAAGCAAGGTCACCTGTATGAGACCCGGACTTACCCCTCTCCAGACTTACCCCTCTCCAGCTTTTCAGGACCATCTGCCCCCCCCAACCCCCTCCCCCCCCAAAGGCCTTCAGCCAACCCTAGGTTTGGTATAGCTACCATTTGGACCAAACTTACAAAAGTAGAACCAGACCAGTGTTTTGTTTAAATATATACTTTCTTCTGGGCTCCAAGAAAAATGTAAGCTACTTGACAAACCCCCTTAAGATGAAATGCCTCAGGTGAAACTTAACATGGGAACGACGCTGCAGCTGAAATGCTACATGAGCTCTGCAGGCATTCTGGGTTGTCCCAGCGTGGAGGAGACCACAGGTCCCTGCCCCGCTCTCCTTTGGTAAGTGTCTAAGGTGTGATGCCCTGCCTACATCCGGCTTCAACACTGGTCAGGTTCGAAAATCCACAATGAAAATTTTGTTCGAGATGTGTTTCTTATATTGTCCGCACGATGAACACGTTTGATGGCGTGTAGGGAGCTCTGGCCTGTGCTGAAGGAATACAGTTTGTAGGAGCAACAAAGTTGCCACATCTCAGCTATGTCACAATGTAGGAGCAGTCGCTTGGAAACAGGAACATCATGTGATAACTGGGTGGCTTGCTGTCCCTATAAAACCACCAGATCTGAATGTGTAAATTCATTCTTACGATTCGTTCATGGACACCAGGACAACTTGGGGTTTCAAAGGGCAGTTTTGAATTCCTAAGTGCTTAATGTGGGAAGGGATTTGAGAGAGATGGATATTCAATATTCCGTGAGGACTGAGTTCAACCCAGTCACTTTATAGATTAACGAACTGAGGTTCGGAAAATGAAAATGACTAGTCACGGCGGTAGTTGGAAGACGTACCTTCCGATTCTGATTCGAAAGGTCTTTCCACCTCATGTTTTTTTTTCCTTTTGATGCTGCTGTGATTTGCTGTGCCTTTTCTCCCGTGCCTTCTCTTCAAGCTTTCAAATAACTACAATTTAATGGCTCACACAGTTCCACCAGTGATTGGATGAACTGATCACAAATCTTTTTCTTATGAAATGGACTTCTGGGTTTAGTACAGCTTCCCTTTGGTGGCCACAGTGCTCAACCCTTAAGTGACAACCTTCTGATCTTATTTCTGTGGTCAGGCTGCTGGCTTCACCAGATTTAAGCATCAGCCTAGATTCCCAGCCTTCCTGGGTCTGCCCTACCCTATCGTCACCTGAGCTCAGCCTCTGCCCTTCCACGTGTAGTTTACTTGGTCACCCTGGTAACCACACCTTAATTGCCCGGTGAGATCACAGGGACTGCCCAGGTGCTGGGGTTCTGGGTTCTGTGGGGTCTTTCTGCTTTAACTTGAAAAGAAGAAAGCAGAGAGTCAACTGTGCAAAAGGCGACCTAGAAAGAGAAGGAGTTTGCTGACAATACTCAGGAAGTGGCTTTTGGAAAGTCAGAGTTATAATGTTCTGTAACTTAAGTAGTTTGGAGGTTTCTGATTTCAAAGCTACAAACAGTTTGAAAAAGATTTATATTTTAAATAATTAAAATGGCCCAAACCTGGACTATGTTAAATACCCGGAAGCACAGTTAATAAGGTCCCGATGCGTGGGGGTGGGGGAAGGTATATTGTAGACCTGTTGAGAAGCAACCAGTAACAGTAACAATAGGATAGAGTTCAAATGTTCATCAGCCCCAACCACAAGCTGTTTCTGAAATTATATTTCTTTCCTTTTTTAAGGAGCCACTTTATTGAGATATAATTAACAATTCACTCCTTTAAAGTGTACACCCAGCCCGACCAGTGTGGCTCAGTGGTTCAGCAACAACCCATGCACCAAGAGGTCACTGGTTCAGTTCCTGGTCAGGTCAGGGCACATGCCCAGGTTGTGGGCCCGATCCCCAGTACAGGGCATGCAGGAGGCGGCCAGTCGATGTTCTCGCTCATTGATGTTTCCAGCTCTCTCTCCCTCTCCCTTCATCTCTCTCTAAAATCAATAAAGAAAAAAATAAAGTGTACACCCAAAGGTCGTTAGTATGTCCACAGAGTTATGCAGCCATCACCACAATTTTAGAACAATTCCGTCCCTCCCTGCACCTCCACCCTCCTGTCCCACCGCCCTAGGCGACCGCTGATCTACTTCCTGTCTGCGCAGAGTTGGCTACTTCATACAAATGGAATCACACACGAAGACATGGTCCTTTGTGACAATCTTTCACCAGCAGCCTGTTTGTAAGGGTCGTTCATGTTGGAATACGGATCAGCACTGCTCTCCTCTCTGCTGCCAAAAGTAAACCCCTGTACGGGCGTGCACGTTTAATTTCACCGAGGGCACTTAGGTGGCTTCTCCTGGTGGGCTGTTACGAATGCTGCTGTGAGCACTCGAGTACACATTTTTGTCTGGATATATGTTTTCAGTTTTCTTGGGAACTTCAAATGAACAATGCACTAAAAAGAAACAAACAAAAAACAAAGCCCAGGCTGTGCTATTAGCAACTATGCAGTGTTGCCACCCTGAGATTTTAAAGTAAAATATGCAATGTCACCTCCCCCATTAAAAAAAGAGACATTTAAAAGAATGAACAAGAGCAGAATTGGGGGAGTGGTGTGGCTCTGGGCACCTCTGTTAGAGGCACCTGCGGGGAATCCGCATGGAGATGTCACAGGGATACGCACGTCTGGAGGGGGAGGGACCTGCACTGGAGAGGACAGAGGTGCTCTGTGGGAGGGTACGGAAGTCAGCCTGGCAGACAAGGGCCAGACCAAGTCATGACTTCCGGTTCTGCCACTGACCGGCTGTGTGTGCCCTCTCCAAACCTCAGTCCCCTCACCTACAAAAACAGGACTGATGGCAACACTGACCTCCATGGCGGCTGTGGGGATCAAATGAGATGAGGCAGCTAAGCTGAGGACAGCGTGCGGCACATCATAAGTGCTCAGTGGTGTGACGGCATCATCCTCCATCGTCATTATGAAAACAATCTGTGACTGCCGAATGCAAGTAGGTGGAGTCTAAGGACGCCATCCCAGCGAGACCTATGAAGTGAGCTTTCTAAACTCATCAATCTCAGCTCCCTTGTAAATGTGGCATCTTACCTTGTTCTCATTGCGACCATGAACGTGAAATGACATAAAAGAAATAAAATGCTATGAGACAAAGGAAGAGCAGAGCAGGGTGAGGAGGAGCGGGAGGGATGCGTGGCGGTGGGTGGTATTAGTGGGCGCAGTCAAGGCTCTGTGGGGCCTGCGGGTGCAACACGCAAGTCTCCCTTCAAGCTAACATGCTCCAAAGGGTGCAGGTGGCCAAGAGCCTTCCCTGCTGAGCGCCACAGCCTCCCCGCCACCCAGAGCGAACAGTCTCAGCAGCTCAATGCCCATGACTAAGCGTGGTGGGCACCCTGCTGTCAGAGGGTTCTGCCCGTCCTGGGGTTCCCAGGGGCATGTGCCAGCCTGAGACTTTCTCAGAGATTCCCTGCAACCTGAGCTCATCCAGCCACCCCCCCCCCCACTCTGTTCCCAGGCGTGGGCTCTGCAGGGCACCTGAAGCCTGTCTCTCCGGCCCCTCTTCCCTCGCTCTCCGTTCTACGCAGGTGTGTCCCCCAATAACTCTTGTGCCTTCAGCTTTTCAGGGGACCTGAATGAACAGCCTCACAGCGGTGAGATTTGAACGAAGCCAGCAGGAGGCAATGGAGTCAGCCCGCAGACCCCCTGAGGGCAGAGCATTCCAGGCAGAAGGGGGTTCCCCGCCCGCCCCCCTGGCAGAAAGGAGGGTTTCTGGCACGTTCCAGGAGCAGAAGGCAGCCAGGAGAAGAGGGAGGAGGTCAAGAAGGGGCACATGGCGTTGGGCCCGGTAGGCCATTGTAGAGTCTGGTTTTCACTCCGAGCAAAAAGGATCATTTCAGGTTTTGAACTGAGGAATAACATGCTCCGACTTCCTTTCCAATACTGTTCACTTACACGGGAGACAGCATCTCTTCATAAAGAATGTGGTGTTCCGCCCTGGCCGGTTTGGCTCAGCAGTTAGAGCGTCGGCCTGCGGACCAGAGAGTCCCGGGTTCAGTTCCCGCTAAGGGCACGTACCTCGGTTGCAGTTTGTCCCCGGCCCCAGTTGGGGTTGTGT